AGGGAACCTCCCCACGTGTTCTACCCAGCCGACTGGTCAAACTGGCAATCCCAATTTCCAAAGGTTACAATGCCCGAAATCCATGTTTTCCAGCCCCTAATCTGAGGAGGTGTGAAATGCGCCTTGACCCTCAAATCATAACTGTTATGGAAGCCGTTGCCGCTCTGGGGTTGCCCCCCAACAATGAAGTTTCCCCCGAACAGGCCCGGATCAACGGCAAGCTGCGGCCCCGCGCGCCTGGCCCCGAAGTCGGCAAGGTTGAAGACTGCACCATTCCGGGCCCCGACGGCGAAGTACCGGTTCGCATCTACACCCCGGCAGGTTCCGGCCCCTTCCCCGGCTTGGCCTGGTTCCACGGCGGTGGCTGGGTCGTTGGCGACCTTGATACGGCCGATGGCTCCTCCCGCCACCTGTGCGTCGGGGCCAACTGCGTGGTGGTTTCCGTTGATTACCGTTTGGCGCCTGAGACCAAGTTCCCTGGCCCCGCCGAGGACTGCTATGCGGCCACGCAGTGGTTGGCCAATAACGCGGCTTCTATCAACGTAGACCCGACCCGCATCGCCACCGGCGGAGACAGCGCTGGTGGAAACCTGTCCGCAGCAGTGTCCCTCATGTCTCGCGACGGTGTGTGCTGACAACCTGTATTCCACTGCTGGGTTTAACGTTACCGACGCGAGAAATATTTCCAGACCGTGTCCTACATCGAAAACGGGGAAGGCTACTCGCTTAGCCGTGACGGGATGATCTGGTTCTGGGACCACTACCTGGCCGGCGACGCGGATGCGACACCAAGCCCTTTGACGCTTCCCGATGCATGCCAGCGACTTGAGCGGACTCCCGCCGGCCCTTGTAATAACTGCCGAGTTCGACCCGCTTCGGGACGAGGGTGAGGCTTTCGGTCAAAAGCTGGCCGAAGCCGGCGTTCCCACCACCTGCACTCGCTACGACGGGAGGGACTCACGGGTGTCTTTGACGGCATTGTCGCAGCGTGGCAAGCAGTGACAAGGGCACACTGCGGTTGGAACAGGCCGCAACCTGCCTGCGGGAAGCTTTTGCCGGCGCTCCTGTCCGAAGCTAGCTTCGCTTCTGCGAAGCAAAGCTCAGTAGGATAGGCACTGACCGGAATATGGGGCAAGGATGACATTTCATCTCTCCTTGCCCTTTCCTTTTGGTTGCCACTGGAATTAACAGGGCCCTATTCTCGAGTGCCGATCATCAGCTTAAATAGTCACTCAATAGACTTTGTGATAGTATCCTCAAAGCACGCTGCAGATCCCAAATTTGCCAGGAATAAATGCTGAAAACTTTCCAGGAGTCCGACTTTATCCAGAATCTTGTGGGTTATGTCATCCGCGCGGCCCTAGGCACCGGAATGGCCGTGGTGATGGCCGCGGTGGGAGTTGTCCTGGCGAGAATGGGCTTGCTTCTCTTCGGCCTGACCTCCTGGAATGCCTGGCTGGCAATGCTGGTTGTCGGGGCAGGAGTGGGCGCAGGACTGGGAAGCGGTACCGCCTGGCTCTGGTTGAAAGGAATGGGGAGCGCCTCAACCGCGTCGTGTCTTCTCCCTTCAACTATTTGGCCCTTCTGCTGCCGCCCACGGGAGAGTAGCGGAAGCTGGCTGGCCTATCAATATGGGGCCGGGGTGAAGCCTGAATGCTGCGCTTCTCCTGAAATGGGCCCCATTGCCTACGCCATTGTGGGGGCAGTTCTGGCTTCAAGTGGAACTGCCTTGGTGTCCGGAGTTGTCGGCCAGAATATCGGGCGTGCATTACGTTCTCGGCAAGGCGCCGCACGGGTTCCCATTCCGGGGGCCCCACCGGAATTGAACAGCAAGTAACCCTTGCCAGTCTGCCCAACCTTGGCCACGGAGGCTTAAAGGGTGCAAAAATTCATTGCGCGCCGCTTGGTCATTACTATCTTCACCCTGATTCTGGTCTCATTAATTGTTTTCGTCATGGCCCGGGCCTCCGGCGACCCGCGAACTCTACTCCTCGATGACTACGCCAGCACCGAAATGTGGGACGAGCTGGGGGTCGAATTGGGGTTAGACAAGCCACTCTACTTCCAGTACGCCATTTTCCTGGGGGATGCCCTCTTGCTGGACTTTGGAGACTCGGTAATCGATAACCAACCTGTGACCGATACCATCCTGGAACGGCTTCCGGCAACGCTGCAATTGGGCGCCGCGGCCTTTTTCTTCTCCCTGGCGGTGGGAATTCCACTGGGAATCCTTTCTTCGATCAGACGGGATAGTCTGTGGGACCAGGTAGGCAAGGTTGTGGCCCTCCTGGGTCAGTCAATGCCGCCCTTCTGGTTGGGCATCATGCTGATTTTCTTCTTCGCAGTGATGCTGGGATGGGTCCCGCCTTCGGGACGCTACGAATGGAACAGTTTCGTCCTGCCGGCCATTACCCTGGGCTGGTTCACGGTGGCAGCCAACATGCGCATCGTCCGGTCGGCCATGCTTGACAGTCTGGACACGGAATACATCAAGCTGGCGAGGGCCAAGGGAGTTTCGGAGACCCAGATAATCTGGAAGCACGCCCTCAAGAACGCAGTCATACCTCCGCTGACCTTCATGGGCATTACCCTCGGAACCCTTGTAACCGGCTCTATTGTGGCCGAGACGGTTTTCGCGTGGCCCGGCATTGGCTTGCTGGCCTTTGATGCCCTGCGACAGTCTGACTACTCTCTGCTGCAGGGAATCGTCGTATTCTTTGCCGTGATGTACCTGGGTACTTCTCTTCTGGTGGATATACTTTACGCGTACCTCGATCCCAGAATCCGCTTTAGCTAGCCGTAAGAGAGACGTTCAATGGCAGACACCGTTCTAATATCCCGGCCCGATTCATCGTTTCAGCCTATGCGGAGGATTCGTGGACTGCGCCGGCGGCACGTCCTCTTGGGGATTTCCGTTTTCCTGCTTTTACTGGTAGCCGGTACCGGGATTCTGGCACCTCTGCTGGCTCCCCATGACCCGCACCGGGGCAAACTAGCGGACCAGAAATTGCCCCCCGCGTGGATTGGAGAGCGCACAACAACGAAAACCGTGGTGGAATTCCCTGAGCCTGGATTGAGCCACCGCCAGATTTCCATTTCCAGGGCCCTGCGACTTGACCCCGATGCCGTGTTGGGCAATGAAGTAAGCGTTGCGTTGCGAGACGGAGGGAACTCAAGATACCTGCTGGGTACAGACGACCTGGGTCGGGACATTCTGAGTCGCATGATTTACGGGGCCCGCATCTCCCTGATTATCGCTGCCGTAACCCTGGGAATTGGCGGCGCAATTGGGACCGGGCTGGGCCTGATAGCCGGGTATGTTGGCGGGGTGGTCGACGAACTTGTGATGCGCATCGTGGATATTTTCCTGGCGCTGCCTCTTGTCCTGGTCGCGCTCGTATTGGTGGTAGCAGTGGGACAGTCCTTCTTCATAACTACGGTGGTGCTGGTGCTGTTCATCTGGGTGCGTTTCGCCCGTCAAATCAGGGGGGAGGTGCTCCAACTAAAGACCATGGATTACGTCTCCCTGGCAAAGGTGGCCGGAGCTTCAACGCCCCGCATTCTTTTTGTCCACCTGTTCCCTGGGGTGATCAATACGCTCATCGTGGTGGCGACCCTCCAGGTAAGTATAGTAATCCTGGTTGAGTCCACCCTGAGCTTCCTGGGAGCGGGTGTACCGCCGCCGACACCGGCTTGGGGTTCCATGGTCGCGGACGGCCGGGACTTCCTTAACGATGCCTGGTGGATTTCAACCATGCCGGGGGTGGCCATATTGCTGACCGTCTTGGCCCTGAATTTGTTCGGGGACTGGCTGCGGGACCGGCTGGACCCCAAGCTACGCCAGTTGAATTAGTACCGGTAAGAATTCAAATACGGCTGACAATGCAGCCGCAGGAGGATAGGAATGGAGCAAGTAACCAGCAGCGTATTTGCGGAAACCCAGATTCGAGGGTGCAACCACGGCTTCGTCGTCACGTCGGAAGGCGTGGTGATGATCGATAGTCCCCAGAAACCCAGCGACGCCCTCAAGCTGAAGGAGGAAATCGCCAAGCACGGCGAGCTTCTTTACATCATCAACACGGAACCCCACGGTGACCACTGGACCGGCAATGCCTACTTTGACGTGCCGGTCGTAGCCCACGAGGGAGTGAGGCAGCGCATCCTGGAAACCAATCTGGAAGAGCATGTGGCCCGGGTGGCGGGCATGGGGCCCGAAGAACCGGCCCTGTTGGAGAATTACACTCCCAACGCCCCGGTGATCACGTTTCGCAACGGCATGACCATGCACGTGGGCGACCATACCTTCCAGATGATCCACATGCCGGGCCATACCCTCTACCAGGCCGCCATCCTGATTAAGGAAGAAAGGTGTGGTCTTCACCAGCGACAACATCTTCCATAAGGTGCAGACCTACATTCAGGAAGCCAACCCCGACCAGTGGCTGCGGGCCCTGGAGTCCCTGCGCCGCCTTGACGAGGAGATATTTATCCCCGGTCACGGCCGCCGGTGCGACAAGGGCTACCTGGACGAGCAGGGCGAGTACGTCCTGGAGTGGAAAGAATACGCCCGCAACGCCGTGGAGCGCGGCATGACCCGCGACGAGGCCGTCGAAAATCTCACCGAGCTGACCGACCGCTACCCCATGGACGTGGGCCAGGACGGCACCTCACCCAGGGTAATGAAGATGAATGCCGCCAACCTGTGGGACTACTGGAGCAAGGCAGGAATCCACGAAGACCGGCCCGATTAGCTACTGCCTGTTCACAGGAATAAGAAGACCAAGAAGCTATCGGAAAAATCCCTTCCCCCTTGATGGGGGAAGGTTAGGATGGGGGTGCCGAGTAGCGTGATGTCACCTCCACTCAATAGTGAGTCCGTCTTCGGGGGTTTTAGATAGCTATAAAGAATGGGCAGTCAACAAACTGCCCATACTGCTTTCGGTCCCTTCATACACCTTCTGAATAAGACCTCTAGACCCGCTCACCTTTAAAAACCCACAGCCAGTCCTGGTCCCGGGCCGGGCCTGTAACCCACCCGTCCATGGCCTGCTGGCGTTCCGCCCCTATGTCCACACCCAGGCCATCGGCCAGCCGGTTCATAAAATTGAACAGGCAGGTTATCCCCACCACTGAGAGTATCTGTTCATCAGACAAACCCAGTTCTCTCAGGGTTATTACATCTGCCTCCCGCATCTCCGTCGGTTCTTTGGTCAGCTTCACCGCAAAGTCCAGCATGCCTCTGGTCTGCGGGTCGAGGTCGGCAGTCGTATAGTCGTGCAGGACGTGGCTGGCGTATTCCGGGTCGTCAGAATGTTGACGGAGGAACCCTCCGTGGGAGGAGGCTCAATAGCGGCAGCGATTGATCACTGACACGGCTACGGCAATGGATTCCTCCTGAACCCGGGTGAGTTCAGACGCGCCGAAACTGACGGCCTGGTTAAGCTTGCGGACCACCTCCATCATCTTGGGGTTAATGGACATGGAGCTGATGATGCCGGGCATGCCCACGTCTTCCTGTCTTATCCAGGTCATGATCTGCTCCTTCTTCTCCCGTCATCTGGGCCAGCAGATAACGGGTATTTCGCTTTGGGTAACTCTCAAACAGTGACCAATACAGGCTAATCACTCACCGAGGCGGGGCGGGCGCCCTCCAGGTAATGAGTATGCTCCGCAGAATAGGGGTCAAGGGCCGGGAAAAATACCAGCAGGTGAGCCGTGCCTTCGCCGGTGACTCTAAAGGAGTGCTCAGCCCCGGGAGGAATGACCACGGTGTGGTTAGCGCCGACAGTCCGGGTTTCGCCATCCATGCTGACTTCCAACGTTCCTTCCAATATGACGATAAGCTCGTCTATGGTGTGAGTGTGCAGCGGAGCGCCGGTGCCAGGCTCGGCGGTATTGATGCTAAAGGTGCTGGTTACCCCCTGTTCGTGGCCCGCCACGTCCCACTTTCGGTAGCCAGGCCGCTAGGGCACCTCCGGAGCATGGGAATGGTCAATAATGGGCATTCTGTCCTCCAGGCGTTGGGTCAGGTTGTCGGCGGGCAGTACCTGCCGGAGATTTACGCCCCATTGTACCCCATATTCCACTAACTGCCAGACCAGTAAACCAGGGACCAGGAATAAGCGTGCCATGATGAGGTGCCCCTGCCGGAACTAACTTGTCGAACCCCGTCGAACGTGCGATTTCACGTACAGATGCTCAGCGGAGACCGTGCTATACTTGGTCAATCATCGGCACTTCAGGAGAAACTTATGACCACGCCAGCGGCTCAACCGGATAGTGACCGGATTTCCCGGTCTTTCACGATCCAGGGCGACGCGATGACCCTGGAAGGTATGAAAAAGCAGGCAGAAGCACGCGGTTTCACCATTATGTGCGACGAAGGTCCACCTATGGGCGACAACACCGCGCCTTCTCCCATGACCTATTTCGCGGTTGCCATCCTGTTTTGAGAAATGACCCAGCTTGAGCGGTACGCTCAGATGATGAAAGTGGACCTGGGGCAGGTAAAAGCTAATGTCGGTTTTTCGGTTTCTTCCGAAGGTTCGGTGCTTCGACAAACGGTTCAGGCCAAGGCGGAAAAGATCAACATTCACTACGACGTAGTTTCTAATGACCCTCCGGACCGGGTGGCCGGCCTCATGCGGAACGCCCGCAACGGTTGTTATGCCCGCCAGTCCTTCGGGCGCCCTGAGTTGTTCGAAGACACCATCAACTTGAATGGCGAGCCATTTGACCTGGCTGACTACCCGGCTCCAGGCGGCAACTAACTTACGGACACCTTCCGTTCTGTATAAATCCGAGTCTAGTTATTCAACGTAGTATATATTGACAGGGGTCGTTGGTGTTTCATACCTCACCCCCTTGGAATGCCAGGCTCCTGTCACAATGCCAGCGGTCGGGGCTGTCGGTCAGATGGCCCAGGTTGGCCCAAACGATTCAAGAGACAAATTCATGCAATGGGCGGGGTAGTGGCGGACGACAGGACTACTACGGAATTCACCTCTGAAATTCCCGCGATAGTTACTCAAGGGCTTACCCGGCAATTCGGCAGAGTTACCGCCCTTAATAAAGTGAGTCTGGTAGTTCCTTCTGGAACTGTCCTGGGGCTCTTGGGTCCTAACGGTTCCGGCAAGACCACCTTGCTCAGCATTCTGGCGGGATTCATTGCTCCAACCGCCGGCAACTTTCAATTGTTGGGCCAATCCGACCACAGCGAGGCGCTGGCACGGACAGGTTCGCTTATCTCCCGTCCTCTCTTGTGGCCCCACCTGACCTGCCGAGACAACTTGCGCTGCGTTCAGGGCATAACCGGGGGCGAGTCAGACATGGACGAAGTGGACCGCCTGCTCGCCGAGGTGGGCTTGGACGGCAGTGCGACCAATCGCAAATTCGGCCAGTGTTCCACCGGAATGAGACAGCGTCTGGGCATCGCCACCGCCCTGCTGGGCAAACCTGACCTGCTCCTGCTGGACGAACCCACCACAGGTCTGGACCCGGAGGGAATGGTGGAAATCCGGAACCTGATCCGTGAATTGGGAAACGCGCCGGGGCGCTCCATAATAATGTCCAGTCATTTGCTCCACGAAGTCGAACTCACCTGCGACCACTACGCGATCATCTTTCGAGGGAACCTGGTGGACCAGGGCCCCTTAACAAATACACCCCCACCTGCTTCGGCCGTTCAATTAAACACCACGGACAATAAGCGCGCCCTTGATTGCCTCGTCAATAAGGGCTGGACCGCCTCCACCAACTCACGGGACACGGTCCAGCACCAATCCTTGCTGGTGGAAATACAGCCTGGCGCCGAATGGAAGGTGGCCAGGGACCTGGCGGAGTTTGGCATTTATCCCTCAGACATGCGCCCGTCTGAACCGACCCGTTTTACCGGATCGCTGGAGGGAAAGTACCTGGCTGCTGTGGGCCGTGGGGAAGTTGAAGGTGTCCAGCAAGAATGATCCGCCAAGTGATTTGCCTGGCCCGATGGGAATGGTTTCGCCAGAGTCGAAAAATCAGTGTGATTGTGTTGCATTCTCTGGCCATCCTTCTGGCGGTGGTAGTGCTGTGCGTGGCCGCAATGAACAATATCGGATGGATCCCCTTCCCTGTGGAAGTGAGCTACTTTCAAGCGGCTTCAGGCTTCCTCTCGACGTTGGCTCCTCTGCTGGCCATCCTGTTGGGCGCATTGGTACACGCCGTTGACCTTCAAGGAGGCAACTGTCGGACACTGGCCGCCCGGGGCGCTTCGAGAAGCTCAATATTAGCCTCCAAGGCCATGCTGTCCGCCCTGGTGTTGCTTGGTTTTCACCTGTTCGTCGTGGCGCTCGCCTTTTTGCTTGCCCTGGCTATTGCCCCGCACTTCGACGACTGGCGGGCCGGCCTCACCGGCGTTGGCGTTTCCTTTTTGATTTCCCTGCTTTACCTGGCCCTGGGTATTGCGCTTAGCCACTGGCGTCAGTCCACCGCTTTTACGGTGGGGATTGGTATCGCCGTCATTTTTTTCGAAGCAATTGCCTATCCTATCGCCAGTGAATTGGGCCGCTTCATTGAATGGCCCATCAGTGAAGTTACGGCCTCGACCATGTGGGGCATTTCCAACGGTTTGCAGGGTGACAACGACTTGCTCGGCGCGGGTTGGTATGTTCCCATAGTAGTCGGATACATCGGTGCGTTGGTGGGACTGTCCCTGCTTGCTTTCCGGAAGTCTGACTTGCGGGCGGGCGGCGATTAAACGAGAAGATGCTTTGGACCTATAAGGGCGACGCATGGCGAACTTGAAACTTTCTTGACACTTTCGGACTATTATCGGTTTAAAACAGGTCTGGCTTTGAAAACCTTGGGGCAACAAATCCGGCCGGGTGCCAGTGGCGTATTCTCTCTCAAATGACCGGAGTTGCTCAGCCACCTCAGCGTCGGCCTATGGCAGCTATCCTCGTTGACACCTAGGATTACCTAAGTTAACATCATAGGCCAGTATTTCGAATCTGACCATTTTCTGCCATCTCCGCATAGAAGAGAAGTTTGCCCCGAGTTTGGGGATTAGTAGGTATGAATGCGAATAGTCGCAGCCTTGGGACGAGTATTAGCTAACTGGTACGTGGCTGGGCCAGGCTTGGCAATAGCAGGCTTGGTCATTGGGTACGGCCTTTTCTTCTATGCGATCCCTGGATATTCGGCACTGTTCCAGTCTGTCCCCGGCAACCCCAAGATAGGCGTCATCGATATTCCTTTTTCGGGAATTAACGAAAACTCCGCCTATGTCATAACCGCCTACCTGAACTATGCGCGCCTCAATCCGGAAATCAAGGGTGTGCTCATCAAGCTGGCCAGCCCCGGGGGCGGCGCATCCGCCAGCGAGCAGCTTTACCACGAGACGGCCAAGCTTCGGGAAGAGAAGCCCGTCGTCATGGTAATGAACGGCATGGTCGCCAGCGGCGGCTACATGATGGCGATGGGTGTCAACCATTCCTACGCCAAGACTTCCACCTTGGTCGGCAACGTGGGCGTAGTTGCCGGAACCGGCCCCATCTTCCCTCCCCAGATTCCCGAACAAATAGCTTTCACCGGCCCGTACAAGCTGACCGGGGCATCTCGCAGGGATTGGATTTCCGACCTTGACCTGCTCAAGGAAGCTTTCGTTTTGATGGTAGTTCGGGAAAGAGGAGATAAGCTCAAGATAACCCCGGAACAGATCGGCGAGGGCAAGCTCTATACAGGTGTGGAGGCGGCGTCACTGGGCCTGGTGGATGAAATCGGCAGCGACACTGAAGCCTTAGCGAAAGTGGCGGAACTGGCCGGTATCAGTAATTACGGGTTGGTTAACGTAAACGTGGAAGTCAATCGCCTCTTCGTACAGGACCTGCGGCGTATTTACTCTTCCAGCGGCGATATAGACCAGCCTTTGACCGAATCTGACGTGAAGTTGCTCCAGATATTGGCCGGCCGCCAGGCAGTGCCGTATCAGGAGGATGTTGAGCAAGACGGCAATGCCTCCGAGTTCCCCGAAATTGGCGACCTTAACGCCGGGCCAACATTGCCAACAGATTTCAGCGCTTTGAACCGCCCTATGGAATTCGGTGCCCTGGGCCAGCCTCTGGGCAGCAAATTCCCCGACCTTCCCGTCGAAATTAACCAACCGCAGTTCTACTACTTATACGTTGGAGCAGACCACTAAAGTGTGGAAACTAGCTGTACTGCCAGCCTTCCTGGTTGCCTTCCTCCTGGTGGCGCTCTTCACCTTTTACCGGGGTGTATACACGGCCCCTCCTACTCCTGACATTGCCTTTACGGAAATAACCTCCGTTCCAACGGCTGCCAGTGAATATTCGGACGAACCAGTATTCTCTAGCAATCCGGTGGCAGGAGAAATTCGTGGGCAATTGCTGATCGACGATTCTCACCGGAACAACTTCTATCGGGCTGAAATTGGCACTCTGCTGTCCCGTGTTGCGGCAAGGGGCTACGTTGCCAGTTTTCGTGAGCAGGATTCCACTGTCAAGTTGGCAACTCAGCTTAGCCAGGTGGACGCTCTTATAGTAGTCCTGCCCACTCAGCCATTTAATGCAGAAGATATCGAGACCGTCGTTGATTTCGTTGAGACCGGCGGGAAGCTGCTCTTGGTGGGTGATCCGGGGAGATTCTTCAACCTGAATGAACTCTCCGAACCCCTGGGCATTTCCTTCCAGCCCGATTACCTCTACAACCAGGTGGAGTACGATACCAATTTCCGTGACATTTTTGTTCGAGACTTCCAGGCCGACTCCATCACCACGGGCCTGGGGGAAATGGTCTTCTACTATGCAGGATCCCTCAAGTCCGCCGGGCCGGGCCTGACTCTGACCGACAGCAACACTCGTTCCACTCTTTTCGAAACCGACTCTCCTCGCTCATCCGTGGCGATAGGGGGCCCATCGCAATGTCCTGGCCGTGTACGACTTGACCTTCATGATTCCACCCTACAGCGGCGTCAAGGACAATGGGCGCCTGGTATCCAACATCGCCGATTTCCTGACGGAAGGCGGTCGCAACTATCGACTGGCCGACTTTCCCCGATTTTTTCCAGAGCGACGTTGACATTCTGGTGGGGGAACCCGACCTGATCTCGCAGGGAGCCAGGATGAAGCAGGTCCTGGGCAGCAAGGGCATCACCTCCCAACTGCGCGGAACGGAAAACGTGGGCAGAGACACTGTCTTCCTCTCCCTGTTCGACAATCATGCCAGCGTGTCCCGGTATCTCGAGGCCAATGGCGTTCGCATCGGCGAAACTTTGGCCACCCCCTTTGCGTCGGGAATTTCCCTGGAAGAGCGATCGGTAATGCTGCTGGACCGGTCTGGTGAACGGGACGTCTTGGTAATCGTTGCAGACACCTCTGACGGGTTAAGGTCTGCCATTAATCTCCTAAACTTGGGCACGTTCCGCAATGGACTAGTTGACGATATTACAGGGGTGTTTGAAACCAGATGAAGATAAGACCTCTTCCTTTCCTCATGCCGGTGGCAGCTGTATTGCTCCTGCTGGTAATGGCCTGTTCTGAACAGGCCTCGGATTCAACCACCGATGTTCAATCCACCGAAATGTCGGCGGCTTCCAGGGCCGTACCTACTGCGGTGCCTGTATCCGCAGAACTGGTATCAGAATTCTCTGCTGCCCAGGATTCTATTAACGCCGACTGGGACCAGCTCCACCTCGACTTTGACAGCTGGCGGGGGAATCTCAGCGCATGTGACCGTACCGCCGCCCTTGCCGCCATGCGTGTATTCGCCAGCGACTTCGGGCAAGTCGCCGAGCAAGCCCGTGACCTGCCCGGCAAGGGGATCGCTCGGGAATTGCCCGACAACGTGATCCTGGCAGCCAACAGCGAAGAAACCTCACTAAGGTTGTTGCGGGACACCTGGCTTCCCGGGGACGTTTCCCTCCTGGAGAACACCCAGACAGAGCGGGCCACGGCAGCCGGCTTGATGCGTGCCACAGCCATTGAAGTAGACAAGCTGGAAGAACTGGACAAGCCGGAAGACCAGGAAGTAGCCGAGGATTTCGCCGATGCCCTGGAAGCGGTAGACGAGGCTTGGGACGCCTTCAACGATTCATATGGAGCATTGGAGGACGATCACATTGACCTCAGCGTCAGCGAAATCGTCACCCGCCTCAGGGTACTGATAGATGAGCACGAAGCTGTGCTGGAAAGCCTGGAAGATATTCCTTCCGACAAGGTAACCGACCCTGTTCAGGACCAACTGGTCGAAGCCGCTGAAGCCGAGTCCGAAGCATTGGAAGACTTGCTGGACGCCTTCCGCCGGGAAGCCAGGGGAACCGCCAGCGAAAATGGAGCGGAGGATTCTGACAGCGCTGCCCAGAACGGCAATGGGAACGGCGATGGAAACGGCGGTACAGCCTCAAGCGAAAATGGCTCTGAAGCCAGTCCTGAAGAATCTGCCGAATCCAGTGAGGAAGGAACCGAGGGCTCTACGGGTTCACCCCAGGGAACAGCCGGAAACCACGAGCGTGGCACCGCAGGACTGGGTCAAGTAAAAGGACAGACCGGACCGGATGTCCAGGGTGGCATAACCGGAATCCCCAACCTCTTCACCGGGCTTCCCACCGGCCTGACTGGCCCCACCACTGCCGGCCAGCAAGCAGGCCCCGATTCTTCCGAAGACGAGGAGTCCGGTGCCGAAGAGGCAGACTACTCTGGATACTTCGACACGTTCGAAGACACGCTGGACCAGACGAAAGTAACTCGAAAGCAAGCTGGAAGGGATCTTGAAGCCATAATCGAAGGCGTCAGTGAAGAAGACAAAGAGAACTTGGCCGAATTTACGTCTGCCTTTACGGATCTGATGGATGACTGGAACAGTTTCCATGCAGAGTTTGACCGATGGGTACGAACAGAAGGTAATTGTAACCGTGCCAGCGCCGTAGAAGAGCTGCACGACTTCAACCAGCAGTTCAGCGAGCTAGGCAACCGTGTGAGGGAACTGTCCCAGGTGTCTTACCTCCGGCCCAGCTCCGATCTCCTCGCTGAAGCCGTAGATCGGGAGGGTGCCGCCCTGCGGGGACTCGCCAGCACTTGGGCCCCTTACGAAAGCGATGTCTACCGTGGCTTGGACGATGAAAGAGCCAATGCCGTTAATTTGAGGCGCCTGGCTGACCGCCGGACGCAGGAACTAATTGAAAGGAACGGCATGGACCAGTAGCCCAGCTTCATTGGTCTTCGGTGAACCGGTCATCCAGTAACAACAAAAGCCCCTATCTTCCAGACTTGTGAAGATAGGGGCTTTTTCACCGGTCCAGGGCCATGACCTCTCGGCATGTATGGCCCGACTGCGCCAGTGTCCCGCTAAAGGTTTATTCGGCGGGGCTCAAAACAAGGCCAACTGCCCTGGGTCACACGCCAGTCACAAGGCGCTCGACCACCTCAGCGCCCTGTAGGACCTCAGGGATCACCGCAGTTTCCTCCTTGGTGTGGAACGAGCGTACGCCAATGCCTACCGGCAAAGCGGCTATCCCATGCTCGAAGAACACGTTGGCGTCGGAACCGCCCCCACTGCCTTCCATCCGCGGTTCCAATCCCACTTCCCCCAGCGCCCGGGCCAGCATTGCCACCGTGGGATGTTCGGCACCCACCCGATAAGCCTGGTAGCTGTTGCTTATGTCAACAGCAAGGCGCGCCTCCGGATACATCGCTGAGACTTCGTCAAACACCTGGCGGAACCGGTCGGTATAGTGCTCCAGCTTTTGCTGGTCCCGGCTTCGTATCTCCCCGTCCAGGAAGGCCCGTTCGGGGATTATGTTTCGTTTCAGCCCCCCTTCCAGGTACCCGATATTGGAAGTCGTCTCCTCGTCGATCCGGCCCAAGGGAAGCCTGGTCAAAAGGTGACCGGCTATGACCAATGCCGAAATGCCATTCTCGGGTTCCAGTCCAGCGTGGGCGGCGCGCCCATGAATCTCCGCCTTCACCACATTCTGGGAGGGCGCGGCTACCGTTAGCCGGTTCACCGGGCCTTCGCCATCCAACACTACTCCGCGCTGGGCGGACACCAGGCTGAAGTCCAGGTTGTGTGCCCCGTTTAGTCCCCCTTCTTCAGCGCGGGAAAATATTACTTCTACCGGCAGGTGCGTTGCCCCGGACTCCCGCACCGCAGTCAAAGCCTCCAACACAATTGCCACTCCCGCTTTGCAGTCACCGCCCAGTATGGTGGTCCCATCGGAGTGAAGCACATCTCCGTCCAGTTGCGGTTTGATGCCACGGCCCGGTTCCACGGTATCCAAATGGGCCGACAGGATAAGCGGTTCCCCTTCCCCGTCGAGCTTTGCTATCACATTCTTGTAAGCATCGTGCTGTACCTTGAATCCCAGGGCTTGAAGGCGGGAAGATACTTCCCAGTCCATTTCGTCCTCTTCGCCAGTGGGACTGTCGATACGGATCAGGTCCATCAGCGTCGTGATCAACCTTTCCCGGTTCGCCATCCTGTCCCCTCCCTTAAGTGGCTGTGGTCTTTGTAGCCGATTATACAGTAGAAGCACCGGCCTAAAGACACGCTTCCCGCCGTTGTGTATACTGAACCAACGGCAAGGGAGAGGGAATGGAACTTTCGGTGAGATTTTTCGCGTTGTACCGCGAGCGGGCAGGCTGCAGTGTAACCGGTGTCTCAGTGGAGCCGGGTGCGACCGTCGCGGACTTGTTGAACACTGTTCGGGAACAATTTCCGAGGTTAGCGCCTCCTGACGTTCAGATAGTAGTGGCAGTCAACGAAGAGTACGCCGAACCGGACACCCCTCTGAGCGCTGGAGATGAAATCTGTTTGATTCCCCCGGTCAGCGGGGGCTAAACTCCTTCAGACTCCTCCACCTGGCAAGCCATCCCCATAGCAGGTCAAGAAATATGAGCGAAATGATAGTAATTACCGAGCAACCCCTCAATCCGGAGGAATACACCAGCCTGGTGCAACGTGACTCCAACGGGGCCGTGGTTACATTCCTTGGAACCACCAGGGACTCCTTCGAGGGAAAGAAGGTAATTCACCTGGAATATGAAGCCTACGAGGAAATGGCCTACAAGAAGCTGGAGGAGATCCGCCAGGAACTGAGGGCCGAGTTTGGTGTGGAAGATGTCGCCATAGCCCATCGCATCGGGCCGGTGAACATCGGTCAGATCAGCCTGGTGGTGGCAGTGGCTTCACCCCATCGGAAAGAGGCATTTTTCGCCTGCCACGAAGCGGTCAACCGACTAAAGCATGTAGTGCCCATATGGAAGAAAGAGGTCTACGATGGCGGGGAACACTGGGTCTCTTGTGAAGACCACGAATTTCACGAAGAAGCCGCTTCCCATCAATCCGAGACGGCACCCGCCACGGCGGATAACGACTAGGCTTTGCTTTCCCGACGGCGCCTCTTTCTCGCGGCGGCAGCCCTGACGCTCCTGCCAATTTACGTTTTCCTCGCCACAACCCCGGTACTTTCCAAAGAGCCAGTCGTTACCCTGCGTATTTGCCGTGCGTTTGTTACCCCCTGCCAGCAGGAAGTAAACCTGCCCGTCGGCGGGGAAGCAACCTTGGCCCTCCATTTAGATCCCCCTGATGACCTCGACCCCACACTACCCTTGTCTCTGGTTGCCTGGTACCTAAAGGTGCTCTTTCTTGGCGACGAAGCCGTCGAAATTTCAACCCTCCGCTCAGCAGGCAGGCCTTTCCAGGAACAGGGTTCCCCTGACTTGGTCCTTAATGGTGTTAGGTCCCTCCAGGAACCACCGCCTCAATCGGCCATCAATACTATGGGCTATTACCGCATAAGTAACGGTTACGAGCATGAGGCAGCAACGGCAGAATACGGGATTACGTTGGTAGCCCTCGCTCCAGGCGAACAAGCCGAGGCAGGTATCCGATTACCGGATGAAGACAGCGTATTAATTGGCAGCATTAACTTGAAAGGCGCCAGTGCAGGTACCACTCAACTGTTGGCCGAGGACTCTGCCACCTATTCCCCTCAGGTTGTGATCATGGATGCCTCGAGTGGTTTGAGCCAGTCCGACTTGGAAGTAAATGGTCCCCTGGCAGTGATAAATGTGGGACCCACGGCAGAGAAATCCCGCCTGCAAGGCCACGTATGGTCCGACCTGCCGACTGGCGAGGACTCCTTTCATCCGTTCACTGGAACCTTCGACGTTCAATTCTGGCAGCCTGGTACCGTTCCGGTCTGGCTGGGAGGAACTGGCCATCCCACGGCAACCTTCACCAACTTGACCGGGGACAGCGAAGGCAACTACCACGTGCCTGACCTTTCTCCTCAAATGCTTCCCGCTGGAAGTTACGATCTGCGCGCCAGGGGAGCGGGAACCCTTTCTATTCTGGAACAGGACGTGCATGTTGATACCTCAGGAAGCAGCGGACAGCCTTTGCCCATAATTGTAATTATCGACTTGGGGCCACTGCCGTCCGGGGAACTGACTGGCGACAACAGGGTAAATGAAGTCGACTTGTCCTTTCTCAGATCGAACTTCGGAAGCCTGGTAAGTCGCGGCGAGGCAGGGGCAACAGGAGACGTCAATAATGACGGGGTAGTGGACGGCCAGGACTTTTCCTTAGTCGCTGCCAACTTCGGGAGGCAAGGGGAGTAAGGGCAAATCACTTCCCGAGTTGAAATCTTGATTTAGGCTACGACAGAAGAGGTCGGCCAACCCAAATCAACCCGGTTACTTGCGTTCAACAACACCTATAAGGAAATAGTCGCTGTAGCCTCCGCAACCAGTTGGTTATCCTGATTTTCAATCACAACCAGGCACTTTACGAGGTTCAGACCATCTGACTGAACCTTGTCAACGACTCTGCCCGACATGCTGATGGAATCCTCCGGTTTTACGGGGACAATCAATTTCAGGTTCAAACTGCTCCCGCTGGCAACTATGTTCGGTAGCGGAAAACCCTTCTCCAGCAACTCGGTAACGTAGGATAACAAGGCCTGGCTCGCTGCCTCAGTGCCTCCGAGTGATTCTTCGTCGGCCTCCTCACCACCCCCGGCATCGTGGGGAGACAAGAACTTCAAGAAGGCCTCGATAGTATCGGACGTTTCCCACTTAACCACTATGGGCAGTTCGTCTCCAATACTCACTGATTCAAATGTAGTTGTCTTAGTCCACAATCTTGCCATAGCCTCATTCTCGCCAACCATATCTAGCTTAACAAGGGGAAGTACCCACCGCACATTATCCTCCAATCTAAAATTAAATTTTTTATATATTAATAATTTTATAAAAAAAATAAAATTTATTTAATTATATAAAATTCCAAAATTCTTCTAACAAGAGACAATTTTTATTGATTATATTTGTTAAAAGAAAAATGACGATTAAAATACTACTTATCCCATCTTTCACAAAATCTTTCTTTACCCCTACTTAAAACCATGCATACAACATATACCTATTTCATATCCTACCCTTTTCCTCCTCTCTCCCGTCCTTTCTTTCCCCCCGCCGCCTTCCCCGCTTCCCACCCTTTTTGCCCGCCCTTTGCCCCCTCCCCCCCCGCTGCCTTCCTTCCCGCGGTCTTCTCTCACTTTTCCCCTTCTCCTCCTTTTTTTCTTCCTTCCTCTCCCTCTCCCTTCCTCCTTTTCTTTTTTCGCCATTTCTTCTCCTCCCGCCTTTTTTTTTCCCCCTCCCTCTCCCTGTTTCCCCCCCTTCCTCTCTCTCTTCCTTCTCTCCTCTTTGCCCGCCCTCTTTCCTTTCTTCTTTATCCTTTCCCTTCCCCCTCCTTTTCCCTCAATCTCCCTTAAATAAAAACGATAAAAAAAATTCGTTTTTAAACGAATAAACATTTATTAAATATATATAAAATATCAAAAATAATTTAAATATAATCGAATTTTATAAATCGAAAAAAATCAACGATATAATAACGATTAATAAAATTACACAATAAATAATATTCGATTATTTGTTTGTTTATATATTCGATATTAATTATGATTATTATAAAAATCGATAAGTTTAAATATTTAAAAAATTACGAAAAATTAAATTAAATTTTAAAAATAAATTTTTTTAAAACGATATATCTTTTATAGAATATTTTAAAAACGAAAAAAAAAAATAAATAAATTTAATAAATTATTTAAAAAATAAAATAAAACGAATATTTTTTAATCAATTTAAAATATTATAATGTTAAATAATTAATATATACGATAAAGATACATAATAAAGATGCGCAGGGGCCAAGCTTTGCCATTCTGCTCGGCTTTTCGCGACCGTTGGTCTGTGTGCTAAACTGGCTTCCGTCTTGTATGCAAGAAAAACATTATTTTCCTGAGCCCGGGGAGGCAACATCCAATGACCAGCAAGGAATCAGCTTTGAATCGGGGAATGGTGGTAGTAGCCCACGCCGACGACGCCGAATGGGGTTGTTCCGGCACCGTCGCCAAATTGTGCGCCGAAGGGTGGGAAATGGTGTACGTCCTTTGCACCGACGGCAGCAAAGGCATTGACGACCCGGATATTTCCGGCGAAGAACTCATTCGAATTAGAATGGAGGAACAGACCAACGCTGGAAGCGTTTTGGGACTCCACGATGTAGTGTTTTTGGGCTACGAGGATGCCATGCTCCAACCCAGCCTTGACCTCCGCCGGGACATCGCCAAACAGATACGCCGCTATCGCCCGAACCTCGTAATCTGCCAGAA